AAAGAAAAAAGAAAAATTTAAAAAGAAAAAATAAAGGAAAAAATAAAAAAAGGAAAAAGGAGAAAAAAGAGAAAAAAGATTAAAAAGACAAGATAAAAAGAAAATAGCTATTTGATGTTAGGTGACATGGAGCTATGGCTACCTTCTGAAAATGTGCTTCTTTTTAATCTTTGGAAGGTTCATTTCAAATCCTATTTCTTAGAAGCAGGTTTTGGGCTCTCAAGCATAAAAATTATGCTTTAAAGTTACAATAAAAGTTCTTTACGATTGCTTTAAAAGGGTTACCTCCTTACTTTGCCAACTAAATGTGCATTGAAAGCACTTGGCTCAAGTTCAAGGCAGGCACAGTTTAAAGTTAAAGATTCTACCCCTCACCCTGCCCCCATCAAGTTTTGGGAAAATTGTCCCATATAGACAGAAGGAAAGCTATAGAACTGTGTGATCATTTTACCAACACTTTGTTGGTTTCAAATGTTTTAGCATTTAGCCTGGACAATTACATCATTTCTACCAATTTCTACTGGGGACTATTCCATCATAAAGTGCTTCTCAACTTTAAAGGTGTTAAAAATGTCTCAAAGACTATCATTACTCAGAAAATAGAAATAGTGTTGCTCTATCTTAATGGTTCAATACAGACATATAAAATTTAAAAGAATGTTTTCAGGACTACAGAACAAAAACTACTAGATTCATGTTGCCAGCTTTCCAAAAAAACCAAAAAAACCCAAAAAAACCAAAAACCCAACCCAACTGTAGAAAGAAAAGTACCATCTTCTTTTTGTGGATTTTGCTATGCTGGGGGTACTGTTTTCCTGTCACCCATGAAAGGGAGCACCCTGAGGACTGCCACTCCTGTGCCTAAGCTAGTTTGGATTCTGACAGTTGCTTGGCCCACAACCGCACAAGTTTTATCTTCTGCTAAAACTCTTCCAGCTTACAGCTCTGTGCTTCTCTCCAAACTGGCCTACAAAAAGGTGCTTGTGCAGTCAGTGACCTTCCCAGCTCAGGCATGCTGGTCTTATCAACACAAAGGAAGTTACATTGGTTTTAAATCAAACTGGGTTACAGAAAACAGACTGTAAGGACATCAAGTTCAGTTAAGCATGTTTTGATGTTGATCAAATTGACCAGAATTTATACAAACCAAAATGAAATAGTCCATTCAGCTAGAATACAAGTTCTCACACAGAAACAGAACCATAAAGCAGTGAACTCCTTACTACAGCTGAGCCATTATTCTGTAGCTATGAATGCCCTATTTATTAGCAGCAATGGAAACGAGTTCAGCCCAAACTGAAAGTGGGTTAGTCCGTAACAGTTTGCAATGGATTTGCACCAGGTTACTTGACTAACTCACAGTAACTTGCTAAGGAACAGAAGTGGGTAACAGTACGTCATGAAACGTGGTTAAATGTACATCTTTTAATTAAAAGTGGTTCAAGTTTCTTGTGTAGGAAAAATAAAAATAAATCAATACTCACATTGCTTTCTAGAGTATACCTAAGCTTCAATGGAACAAAACAAGGTCACTTTATTGTGTGGATCTCCAGAATGTATGGCACAAGCAGTGTCTCAGTATTAGCCCTCATTTTGAGTTTTCAGCTCAAAGCATCATCAGGACCACTGCTGAGTCAATACTCTTCCCTGTCTATTTGAGCATACTTATTTCCCTCTCCTCCATAACTCACCTTGATGGCACCAACTACTGTTGTTGTAAGTGCAGAATTGTAATGACTGCATAGGACAGTAGAATACATCAAGAGAAACCTAAATAAAGCAAAGGAGAATTTTTTTTTTAAATTCCTTCCAAACAAGCTCAGAAGTTTAGCAACACTTCGAAATCTTCAACATCTTCTGGATCAGTATTTTGCTGGGATCTTCAATCCCGCCTGTTCCAAACCCTAAAAAAAGATTCAGTGGATCTGTATTTTAAGTTAATGATGTGCATATACAGAGTACTCAAAATGCACATTATAATGTGCTGCTGGAGTTCCAGCAGAGTCATCCCTATTTTCTGTGCTTCTTAAATGTCAATATTTGAAGTTAGTTCGACCCCTTGGCTGGTGACCTGTGAAAGAGCAGAACAGAATCCAACTCACTTTTTTGTTCTTGCTTTGACTCTGCAGTTCCAACAGGAACAAAGCATTGCTTCATTACTTTCAAGTCTCCCATACTTTTCCAGATACATTAAAGAACAAACACACTGAAACGGTTCCTATACTAAAGGGCTTATATTCTACTACCGCAAAGTAGTTGTTCAATAATCAGACGAAACAGCTAGCAGAGAGATACTCAGTACAGAAAGTAAAAAACTAAGTGTCATGTTGTTGACCAATGTACTTGTGAGGTCAACAACATAGATAGTACCGCAACAGTTACTTACACTATTAGAAGTAATTACAAAACAAGACAGAAGCCTAGGCAAAAAATATATCTTCTTTGAATTTTAACGTAACTTATTAGTGAGTCTTACATTTCAGATTTGCAATTTGAAACACTGTCATTAAAATGTCTTACTTGATTGCCCTGTGTCCTTACCCCAACAAGCAGGAAAGAAGAAATTGAAAGACAAATAAAAAATTTGTCCAGTGCTGGAAATGTGTTGCCTATTGAAAAAAAAAAAATAGAGACAGAGAGTGACAATTACATGCTATATAATCGACTGTAAACACATATAAAATATAGCTAATATGAAAATGTGCAAAATCACAAAGTATATTTGATGCATATTATAATTACAAAATGTTTATATTACTACTGGAAACAGTTTGATGTATTTAACTTCAGAGACAACAGAACAACAGCATCCATGATACCTAGACACGTTCTTGTAACATATATAGCAGTCCAGATATAAAACTGCACACTGCAAGCAACGAATAAAGAAATAGAGAATCTGAATGTTATATTTTTTGATACAGATACCAACACTGTGATTAATATTACATAATAAATAGTGTTGATATCAGAGAGAAAAGCAAATAAATAATCTCCTTGAAATCTATTTCATATCATAGATTCATTCATTAACAGCTTCCAAGGTCCAAGCCTTCATTTTTGAGCTCAGAAGTAGATTAAATAAGCATTACCAAGGTCTCTCATCAATGAAGGTCAATGAAAAGGCTAAATCATCGCTCTAAAGTCTGCTCCTTAGTGACATGCAGCAAACAAACACACAGTGCCACACAATAGTCACTAAGACACGTCACAGATTCTTTTCCATTTCTAGTAACTCCAGGATATGTCTCATTTTAATCTAGTTAGTTTAAAGTCACCTGTATCAGCACAAAACTCAGCAAAGGCTGAACACATCCCTGAGAAAAAGGGTAAAGGCTGTTAGTCTGCTGAGCTGCAACTAGCTGAGCCTCCAGCACCTGAAGTAATAGATTAGAGGGACCTTGGGCAGCTCTGTCCTGCTAGAACTGTGCTGGTGTGCAACAACAAATTGCAAAGTATTACAAAGAGACATTCTGGGGCTTCATTTCTCTTCCACTGTATCGTGCTTTCCTGTCCTCCTAGTCAGCCAGCTGCTGAAGGAGAAGTGAATAACTGGTACACTGATGCACTGCAGTCTCTACAAGATGTGGCCATGAGCCAGCAATGTGCCCTTGTGGCCAAGAAGGCCAGTGATATCCTGAGGTGCATTAAGAAGAGTGTGGCCAGCAGGTCGAAGGAGGTTCTCCTCCCCCTCTACTCTGCCCTGGTGAGGCCACATCTGGAGTTTTGTGTCCAGTTCTGGGCTCCCCAGTTCAAGAAAGACAAGGAACTACTGGAGAGAGTCCAGCGGAGGGCTGCAAAGATGATTAGGGGACCGGAGCATCTCTCGTATGAGGAAAGGCTGAGAGAGCTGGGTCTGTTTAGTCTGGAGAAGAGAATGAGAAGGGATCTCATCAACACTTATAAATATCTAAAGGGTGGATGTCAAGAGGATGGGGCCAGACTCTTTTCAGTGATGCCCAGTGACAGGACAAGGGGCAACGGGCACAAACTGGAACACAGGAAGTTACACCTGAACATGAGGAAAAACTTCTCCACTTTGAGGGTGACAGAGCAGTGGAAGAGGCTGCCCGAGGTTGTGGAGTCTCCTTCTCCGTATTCAAAACCCCCCTGGGATGCAATCCTGTGCAACCTGCTCTAGGTGATCCTGCTTTAGCAGGGGGGTTGGACTAGATCATTTCCTGAGGCCCCTAGTCAGCCAGCTGGTGAAGGAGAAGTGAATAACCCCTATGCCTACCCTATCTGTGATTCTGTGGTAGCTACTGCCCCAGGAACAGCTACAGGAGCAGAAGCAGTCTCCCTACCACATAGACAAGGTACTGGTATTTTGACTGGCAAAAGGTACATGCTGTGCATTGCCTGTGATGGATCAGGGCAAAAATCTCTGCTAAGGTAAAAGCAAGCCAAATTCTCTAGCCTGAAAATCTGCTAAATACAGGTGTTATCTACAATGATGTGTTGAATTTTCATCAATATTATTCCATTTTATACCTTCTTTCTGTGATTTAATCTCTGTGCATATGCACCATGTTGACACTAGTTATCCACACCATTTAATATGACTTTTAATATTAAGGTACCAAGCCAATGCATATTCAAAATAGGCACTATTCATTTCTCTGATTTTTTATTTTTTTTCAGGTAATTGAACATTAAACTGTTTGTGTCAAATCAACTTGTGGGAACAAGGCACTCTTTATTTTTCCCATGGAATAAATCTAGCAACAAGGTAAATTTCCCTGTCCACTTCTCCCAAAATGCCTCCAGCCATGACTGCTGGGAAAGCAGTTGAAACCTTAAGGCCATACAAACTTGGCCTCCACTAAGTCTGCCAGGAAGGGCATCAGCTGCATTTTCTTAAACTGGCACTAGGTCATGCTGGACTGATGTCACAAGAAAGGACTGCACACTCAGAGCAGATCTGAGGCCATCATTTTTTAGCGAATCACAATTTTTCCACTTAAAGCAGACTTGTAAGAACACAATGACAAAATCACAAGAGTCCAGGGCACAACAACATACAACAAAAGACACTGGAACTATTTATGACACCCACAAGCTCTGTAACAATTTTCACTGGCAAATCTCAAGTATTTCCAAAAGATAATACGACTCTCTAGACTCATTTTACTGGTAAGAAAAATGCAACTCAGCAAGTCTGTGAGGGAGCCAGAAAAACAACACAAACCTCCTGGTCTGATACTTTACATGCCAGGACATACTGCCTATGGTATTATTATGTATTACGATTAGCTATGGAGGGTCATGCTGTCGTTCTGTAGGAATGTAAAATGTAGGTTACAAAACTAGACTGAGACTAAACAGGAATCTGTTCTGTGCATCAAAATAAGAGAAGGACTGGAAATTGCCTGGTTTTGGTATTTGCAATCTCATTTTAGAGCATGTGGCAAATCACACAGTGCAGCTGGATTCCCAACCAATTGCTCTAGCTGAGAATTCCCAGTCATACATTAGTTTTTAAACAAAGACTCACAGAAGGGCTGTCACACAGCTTCAGCTTCTCATCAGAGTGAATAATGACAAGTTCTTACCAGTGAAGGGAAGTCCAAGTCACATATTTCAAATACTAGTCACTAACATGGGAGGTAGGATTAGCTTTTAAAAAAACCCCACACAAACAAACAAAAAAACCCCTACCCACCTCCCCAGCTGAAAAAACTGAACAAAATACTATTATCAGTCTGAGATATGGAATATTGCTCCTTACCTGCTGAAAGTCTCCAGTAGAAATGCTAATAATAACTGTTGGAAGCACCATGAAACAAGCATTATAGAAAAGGACACCGTATTTTCCCAACTCCTGTGAAAAATGAAACACAGTGTTTGGAATTACAAACTACTTGGAAGCAAAATACTAAACATTACTCTGGTAATCCTTCTGAAATTATTGTCAACGAGCAGACAAGACATAATACACTTCAATTTAAAATACAAGCTTGCAATTGTTGGATTCAGTGTTTAGTACTGAGCCGAGTTTCCATTTCAGTCACTTTGTATGTTCAGCAGAACATTATTGCTCTGCTACACCCTGAAAAGTTTCTATACAAACACCAGCTAGTCAGAAACTTCCCAAGGCACTGGTCCAGAACTGCTTTGTGCTAGACTGCAGGTAAGTCTCCACCTGGCCAAGGGATTACCCATTCCATCTACTGCAAACCAACCACAAAAGCATCGGGCAGGGTCGCTCCTGGGGCCAGCATAGCAGGAAAATTAATGCATTTTAATTTTGATAAAGCATCTGTCATCACTGGTAACTGATGTAACTTCAAGCAACTTGAGGGATGCCATATATCCTGTTGGTTAACTTGCTTGACACAAAGGCAGCAGATCAGGGGAATGAAACAGTAGTCTTCCCTTCCTCCAGATTCAGGCATGCTATGTAGCAAATCTCTCCAGCTTATCTCTTCCTTTAAAATGAAACCCTGTATTTTGCAGAAACCTGTGAGGCACTTAAGTGCTGCTCATAAAGAAAAATAGAGTCTGGACTCAATGCAACTCCTGAGACTATTAAAAGATATATATTTCCACTGTACAGACTGACCCACAAAACTCAGTCACAAAACCTCTATCCAGCATCTCCAAGACTGCTGTTTGCTATGGCTTGGTATGTTTTCATGGCAGTGTCTGCTCAATGTTTACACAAAGTACAACATATCAACACATGGCCTACTTCTTTGGCATACCTGGGTTTGGTGTAGACCTGCTTTTAGACAGCCAAAAAAGATACCAGTTGTTATGCTACTGACTCAAACTGGTCAGGTCTCTGTTCCTACCCACAAGTTTATTTTACAGAATCGTCACTTAAAGTGTGTTTCTAGTCAAAAAGACATCTTCCTTAGATGCGTGTGTGTATATAAATATATATTAAGTTTACAGGTGAACAATTTGCTTTTGGTTTGGATTTATTTTTTAGCCAAAACCAACATTTTAAAGCCCCTACAAACTGCCTAGGAGACTTGGGAAAAATAAAATATGCTGTTTAACTAAGCCTGGCCTGACACACTAATAACAAGTTTTTCCCGGGGTGTTCTGTATTGAAGATGCATTTATCAACTGAAATATGATAGCAAATAAAAATATTTATTAGTTCCTAACTGTATGTTCATAAAATCATATAATAAGTAACCCACTGTTGTTATAATGTTAAATTCAACCTAATCACCCCACAGTTACCTTTGGATCGATTTTCTGCTTTGTGTAAACTCCATTTGCTGCTGTGAAGATGTCATTTAGCAATACAAATGTGTAGCCCTCTAGATTAAAAGACAGATCAGACCTGGGAAGAAATATTATATTGCAAATAAGCAAACAGTATACAATGCATTGCACTACCCTGTTTACCCAGAGAAGTATCATAAATGCAAATCCTGAGAACTCCAGCAAGTCACAGATTTTGCTTTAAGCCTTCTTTGTAAGTCAAGGCACTCTACATTTCTCCAGTCACAGGACCCTCACAAACGAGTCATCAGAGAGTTCTCAGAACTCAGCGTGGAAGTGGCAGGAAATGTTCAGCTTTCATTCTGTGAAAAATTCCATCTGTCTCAATCCTGACAACCTGTCAGATTATTACTGAATATACTTATCTATGTCTTTTAACACAAAATGTAGCTGGGGAATAAAGTATGACTACTTAATTTTTACAGTCAGACCAGACATATTGTCATCCTTTCTGTTTTGACTAGTTACCTCATGGATATAGGGTAATTCACTTAATAGGACGTGGGTCTATCCGAGTCACATCACAGGGAAATTATTTACCTTTGTACACAGCAAAGCCAAGAAACAAAAAATAACACTACATTTCCAGTTAAGTAAAGGAATATCCAAACAGAAGAAAAAAACCAGAGGAGACTAATATACGAGTGCTTTGTGAACTTAATCTCAAATTTCAACTTGTTAAAAGTGATTAAAAAAATAGACATTGCCTAACTCAGAACAATATTTAACAACCTAAAGATCAGTCCTTCTACCCAGAACAAGAACATATTTTTCTAACATTATTAAAATACACTGACACTATGAAATAAAAGCAATATTCCTCACACAGTTATAACTTGCTTCATTTATGATTCTGCAAACATGGAAAACCCAGTGGGAAAAAAAGAAACACCCAAATACTTCCAGTTGGAGTTAAATATTTCCTTTCGTATTCCTGCACTTCCCAACGATGTCAGTGGAGAGATTTTCCAAATCAACTTAATTCAGTGTAACTGATCTCAACTTAAATATACTTTGCATTTAACAAAGAAGAAAATCCTCCTCTTGCCCCTCCTTTCATGACTTCATGTAACAAATGAAAACCTTACCCAGCTGCTATGAAAGCCCCAAGAATGATGGCAAATACGCTGACTATAATACTCAGTGGATATCGTTTCCTGTAGATAAAAATTAGACAGTTCACATTTTCATTATTTGAAGAGGAGATTAAATGGCTGTCTGCCTGAAAAGCAATTAGTAATCACAGAACATTTAACAGGAGGGCACAGTCTTCATAACCTTACAGAAGCAATGTGATTGACTATGTGCCATGCTGTCAGACTTTGGCCCTCAGAAAAAAGATTGAAAAAGCATTGTGAGCATTCTGCTACTAGATAATTTTAAGAGTAAAGGTTAAAGGTTCAAAGTAACATTGCTGGCATAAACTCTAATTTACTATGTATTGGTACTCATAATGGCCATAGTTCAGTGTCCTCCAGTAACCCAATAAAGGAAAATCACTACACATCTTTTGCATAGTTTTTCATCTCATCCTTCGTGGGGAAGATGCTGTACAGCACACTGTCTGGGCTATTTTTCAAACAGATACTTATTATGAAGTCAAACTGAAACCTTATACTTGGAGGGGAAAGCACAGAAGCTTATTATATTCTTCAGTACATCTACATCAGCACTGCCACTGCGTAGGGAAAAACATACCATAAACCCATCCTGCTTCTCATACCTGTACTACTTTATTTAGAAATGTCTTAAGTGTTTTTGCACCATACTGCAATGTGCCTTACAGACATTCCCTTAGTCATTCTCTCAGGCCAGGCTCCAGCTCTGAGCTGGCCTGTGAGAAAAGATCCATCAAAACAGAATGTACAACGCTCTTGGAGAAATCCTGTGTGTCCAAGGAGCACAGACATGGACTGCTGTCCAAACAACAAAGCTGTATGCGTCTCTAGATACATTAGGCTTTGATCATAATGAATCTCAACAGTAACAACCCAAAACTTGACTACTTTTCAAATCCTGAAGTAAGTCAGCACAGACTCTCTGGAGTCCTTTTATTTTCAGGCCTGACGAAATACACTGTGGCAGGCTGCATGAATACAGCATTCTGCACTTAAGCTTCCCCTAGGTTAGGATGTTGCTTGCACTCATACATCACACTGCTGTAGTCTAGCTGAGAACTGATGACAATCTCACTGACTCACATTTTCCTCACTTGCTTACAGCAGGCCTCAGGCCAAGAGGAAAAGACAGCAAGTTCTGCTTTCCCTGTGAGGACTTATAACTAAAGGATAATCCTGGAGCATCCCCAAATATGAATCACATTGATCAACTGCTGCTTCAGCCAAAAGTAGAAACCAATCTATTTGGAGGCTTTTTGAAAAGCTTTTCCCCTGACCATCACTCTCGTGTTGCCTGGGTTTGGCTTCAGCAAGCTGCTTTTGCCCTTGTGACCTTGCCTTATCCAAGCACAAGCCATCTGGATAGAACTACGACGGTGACACGGTGTGAAGTATTTATATTCTTGTTCTCCCAAACTGATACAACCGAAACTAGTGATCCCGAGCTGCAATAGCATACACTTCTTAATCTCTCATTAAAAATAATGGATGTATCTACAATTAAGGAGTTTTCTGATCTAACAGCACACTGCTAGATACCATTTCGGTTCATTAAACTGGTATGTTTTTAGACTTCCCCCTGAAAGCTACTCTACATAAGCAAACCGCCATACTGTCATCACTGTTTTGAGACATAAGGATCTGTCTGTTTGAAGCAGCTTGCAGCTTAGGGGCCTCTGAGATGAGACACAAACTGTAACTGCTAAAAGAAATGTCTGAGTCATGCTCTGCTTACCTGATTCTTGTGAAACAGTCAAGGGAATGAGCTGTGTAAATGAGAGCAAGCTGAATTTTTTTTCCTCTATTCACTACAGTGCATGTACCTGTCTGTCTTCAAAAAAAAGCTACATAAAACCACCTTCCTTGGTTTTCTCTATTTCTCAGTAAAAAGCATTCATTCGATATTCTGATGAGATGCTACAAGTAATCCATTTGATATGATCTAAAATAAAGGTATCTTAAATGAAAAAAAAAAAAAAAAAAAAGGATCACCCAAGTATGATGATTTCCAGCAGTAAAGTAAGTGGAATGGTAAACTTCCTGAGCACTGTAAACATCGGCAAACTGTCAAAATAAAAAAAAAAAAAAATCCAAGCACAGCATCAGATTAATAGCACTTTTATGTTCTGATTCTTATTTAATTTTACTAAGCAGAGGATGAAACCATAAGTCCAGTAGTAAGCAAACAAAACAAATTCCCAACCACTTAGCATACAAAAAAAATGTCAGTCTGACACTCAAGGCAGATTAGATAACCAAATCATTGAAAAAAACCAACAGTTGCGATTTTGTAAAACAATGCAACTGTCTACCTTCCAAAAGGACTCTCTGCATCAGTGAAATGAAATACAAAAGCTATTTTCTATGTCGCATAGCCCCTATGAAATAATTATTCCTGTAGAATTCATGGGCAGGGTAAGTAAAAATTACTTCTACTGTAAACTTAAAGGACACACAATAAACCTGTCTCTGAAAACATAAACAAAAATAAAAATCAAAGCAAGCATGCTTAGAAAACAAGCTGTACTTTCAAAAAAGTAAAATAAATCCACAAGACAAAAACCAGAGGAAGTACAAGAAACACCAGCTGCAACTATCAAACAAACAACTACTTTTGAACAATGTATTGTTGGTCTACACTAAGTGATGCAGTTGGAAACCTTTTTGATTAATTTAAGAAAACATTTGCATCTGACACTTTGGAAATCTGATAGCATGGCCATACAGACCAGTTAATCAGCTGTTTAAGATAACTATCAGCAACTGCCATTAATAAATCAAACAAATACTAACAGAGAGTTTAATCACTTTACAATCGACATTTTAAAATTATGCATAGGATCATCTACAACTTACAGACAAACTAAGTAAGGTGGAAAATTCCATAACGTAAACAAATGTCACATAATGTCACAAAACACAATGTAACAAAATGTTAATGGTAGAAACAGTGCAGCCATTCTTACTTTTCTGTTACAAAAATCAGTTATGAATAGTAAATATAAAAGATGTTAGTCATAGGAGGAGGAGATGGTGCACTTATGTTTAAAATAACCTAATAAACTTTTTATTTTAAAATTACAGTTATGGAAGAAGAACCCATGAATCAAACTTTTACAGGACTGAAACTACATCCATATCCACACTGGCCAAAGTGCTACGAGGGACGGTACTGTCCAAGTCCTTCTGTCTGCCTCAACAGTCACTTCAGTAGAACAACTTCTAAATGGGTACAACAAAGAGTTGCAGAATCAGGTGCTTTACATTTTAAAGTTATGAAATGCTGAAAACCTGCAAAATTCTGTTTTGGTTTAACTTACTATCAAATTCTCAGGAGCCTGTAATAATATAAAGGAAGCCACTGCAATGGTAGTGCTGTATCCTCCAATCCTGGTGCAGCCATCAGGCTTCTGTTCTCCTCTTCCATTGAAAATTTGTTCATTCAATCTATTCAAGCAGGTCCTCTACACAGCTTACAGCTTTTTAGCATTAGCATGGAAGCAGCTCTCCTGGATCTATGCTTACGGGCATAGAGGAGCCAGCAAGCCCTTTTGCCATCTCCCCACAACCTGCTCTTGGTGATCAGCAGGGCTACGCCACCCCATTACAGAGTAGTTTTTTCGTCTCTTGGCGTGTCCTAAATAACCTGCACTGACATCATTGTACAAAACCTTCCCATATTCTTCTTTTTTCAAAAACTTCTTTCTTAACAGCTTTCCCACTCTGTGGTTAGGACACCTAGGAAAAGCTGGACGGTTGGGTATGAGGGGAAAGTGAAAGCACTTAAATTGTCATAAGGACTATTGTGATTCTCTGTCAGTACAGTCCTAGCTAAGCACCCCTTAAAAGCACACAACTTGTAAACACATCAAATGTTTGGGTAAGAGTTTTGTAATAGTATCAGGGGTTTAGACAGACAGACAGACATCATATACATTAAGTCCCTACGCAATGCTTTTTTTTTTTAGTGTTTATTTTTTACCCCCACAAAAGAAAAGGGTAAAAGCCAAATAGTCTATTTATAACTTCCATTTACTGTACCTGAGTTTGCTGGTACTTGATAATCCACTTATGTGGTTTCCAACATAAATCAGAGGCAGAGGAAACAACTGTGATAAAATTAAAAGCACAACTCAGATTATTATGTTTTGAAGTACTGTTAAGAAACTTTATTTGATAGAATTTGATAACTGTAATATCAGATGTACTGTTAGCAAGGAAGAGGGTTTTGTTAAGAAAAAAAATTGTGCTGCAACTGATCTGCATCTCTCATTCATGTGACTGTTCACGACCACAGCTTTACTGATTTCATTAGAAGAGTGAAAATCTACCTCTAATGAGACTCAGACTCCATTTAGTGTAAATCTTAATCAATTTTATTTTAACGACTATAGTCCTCAGATTAATATTCATTCTAACATTTGAATTTTAAGTATAAAAGTAATACTAACAGTAAGCAAGACAACTTGTGGAATAAAAGAATGAATAAACTCTAAGTATGCTATGCTTCCCTAGGTACTCCATACATATTAGCATGCCTGGAAGATACACCATTTTAGATCTACATAACAAATTATACTATGCAAGATACTGGAAAGGAAAGGTAAGTATTTAGGGGTAAATTAAACTTTATCATTTCCAACTTCTAGCATAATGAAACTGACTCCCACAGAAACATATGGGCCCTAACATAATACAGATAAGTATTAAAAGAACTTGAGAACCTTAGGGAAAATGTACTAGAAGTCAGGGATCCCTACATAATAATCAGCTGTAGTTCAAAGCTGTTATCCTACTACTACGGAAAAGTTACAGAAGATTAAAACCAGCCAAAGTAATCACTGGGGACAGAAGTGGTTTGTACATCTAGTCCCATTCACTATCAGTCAAGCGGAACTGAAATGGCAGAAAGACAAAACAGATCCTCTATCCTAACAAGTGTAATAGCTGCTCTTGTTTTGCCTATACATCCCTCAGGAGACATAGTGTTTGTTAGAGGCTGTGTCTTCTCAAAGCATTGTGTGCTGGAAAAGCATACAGAGGCATGGCCTGCATTTTATTAATGTTAAAAATTCTGCCTTTCTTTCACAGCAAAGAGGAGAGAGGAGAAAAGTACAGTAACAGTTAACTATAGTTAACTAAAGTTAACTTTTAAGTGAAAGTAACAGTAAAAGTAAGCCAGAGTATAAAGTAAGAGGGGTATAAGTAACAATAAATATGCAGCCTGTCAACATAAGCTTGCAAAAAATTTTAATACACTATCTCTTCTGCAAATTTTTATACAGAAAACTACCCTCATTCATAGCATGAAAACAGAGCCAACATTACATTCTCTTTCCTCTGAACTTCATCTATTGTAAAGGCAAAATCACTATATCCAGCACAACATCAGATATCAATGAAACATTTACTTAAAAAGGGTCAAGAACTCCAAAGCTTCCTCACTTAAATAAGCAGTTTGCTACTTTAACACTCTCACTGAAAGCACTGAGGACATAAACGCTCTGTGAGTGAAAAGCAATGATAATCTTAGTGTCAGTGAAAGCAAAAGTTGTCAAAAGGATAAAGAGTCAATCAAAGGGTGCTTTAAAAAGTAAAGATATCGATAATGAGCAATCCAGCTGATTCACTGTGACTAGTCAAATTCAGCACGGCAAGCAACATGCAAGTCCTGGACGCAGCAGTGCTGACTAGTCCCAGTGTATCCAGGAAAGTCTTCCAAAGGATAGATAGTACTGGGACAAAGAAAATGGGTGCTGTATTTTTTAATGCCCTTGTACTGATTTTAAAGTGAACACCACACCAGGGAGGGGTGTAGTGGGACTGGAGGGGTGCAGAGGGAAGAAACCTCTTGAAGTCTCAACAAGTTGTGTACATGCCGAACTCAAAACTACCCAGTGGGAAACCTTCATTTATGTTTTGGAAAAAATAAGGATTGCCCATTTTATAATCGATGCTATAGATACTCCTACAAGATTTCTACATGCAGAAATGCCAATGATTCCAGCATGCATTAAGAAAATATTCATGAGATATCATATCATGAAATATTCATAGTAAACCTCAAACTGATAGTATGACAAGATACTGCAATGAAGATGCTGGCCTGAAACACTATGATAGCTGAGCTCTGCAGCAGAGCTGGGAGCTAACAACTCTCTCTGTATCTCTCAGCAAACACTGACCGATACCTTGCAGCAAGACATAAATATGCAGGCTTATGCATCAAAGTAAAGCTCCAGCAACACTGCACATGGATACAAAAATCTTTGAGGATCATTGCTACAGTCATTTCTGAGACAATGAAAGATCCAATCTGAGACAATAAAAGATCCTCTCTCATATTCTCTCTATCCTGCCTCTTTAGATCCTACACACTCGAGGTCTGCACGATGCAGCTAGCTTCTACCTACAGTATCTTTGGTGGGTAGTATTTTAGCCCCTCCTACGGAACGTAAATCTTACTTTTGGAATCAAGCATTGTTTGGGTTTTTCATCTATGACATATTCTTTTTCTATTGTTTTATCACATGTCCTATTCAAATTTCTAAACAGCCTTTCAGCTGTGATCAAAATTGTTTCTTAAACACAGATCTCCCATTGATCCTGCAGGGAGCTGTATACCTCCAGAAAAATACTTCAGGAATCTGAAAGAGTTCATCCAACTGTATGAAGGTACAGCACGCCTTCCCATGTACTGCATAACTAAAGGCACCAGATTTCTCTACAAACAAAAGGCAAGAATACTGCAGTGAACTTACAATGGTCAAATCCCACAGTAAGTGAAACAAAGACACAAATAAACACATTTGACAAACAAATGCAAATCTGTTTTCTGTTCTTGTATTATATCCTGTCTCCATAAGAAAGGATGCCATTACAAGAAGTAACACTTATTTTCTTCTTAATATCAAATCTTACCTTCACAGGTATACTTTTGTCAAAATCGGGGAAGTGAACAATCTTATTTAATTTTGACACATACAAGATAAGTATAGTGGCCGCCATCTAAACAAAAAGAAAAAACAAGAAGACATTTAAAAACAAAATTGTAATGTATGAATGAAAGAACTGCTTCAAAGACAAAATCTTTATATGCATTTGACAAATGCTAGGCATTACACGTTTTTTTTAAAGAACAACAGAGCTCGCAACAAATAAACTGGAATAACTTTATTCTTACCAATTTTGCCTGCTATTTATTTGAAAGTACAATATAGACATGTTTTAGTGGCTTGAGAAAATCAGTGGCTCTCTGTGAAACAATGCATGCTGAAAAGCTCAGAAAATAAACCAGGGTATGAATAATCATGCTATTTTCACTCAGAGCATTGTTTAGTCTGCAGAATCACTCCTACAGCTTTTTTGTTAATGTGAGGTGGGTGTTGTGCATTGATCACTCTGTTGACAACATGAAGAATGAATAATAAAGATACAGACAGAATGAAGGAAAGTATCTGAGCCATCACACGTCGTATGAGTTCACACTGGCCCCAGGAAGAAAAGGAAAATGTTAAATTTTCCTTATACAAAAATCTGTTAATTTTCTATCTAGAAAATAGGGTGGAGCCATGTTCTATGGACTAAAGCATTATACCATATGCACTTTTCAAACCATTCAGGGAAATTTTGGAAGGATCAGTCAACAAAAAATGCAAATGCCATAGACTCTTAGGTTATGCCAAGAAACAAGGCCATATCGTCGCCCTTGACATGAAGTATTGTCACATTTTCTAGTCTTTGGTTTCCACTGAAACATGACATGTGGTTCCTTGAGCAGTCTGGACGTGTGAAACTCTTTCTCTCCCCCTCTCATACAGCAAAGACTTTACAAGATATTTCACTCTCTTTAATTCCAAAAAGCAGAAATATCAGACTGTTTCAGCTCTTCCTCACTACCCCTTAGCTTGTAATCCTGGCAGAAAAGATATCCTCTCTTTTAAATGTATTTGCATAAACAACACTTGCTTCAAGGCTCCATCTTTCCCAGCTATCCCTCTGCAGAGTCACACGTTCTTCTTTACAGACCACGTACAAAAACATTTGAACTTTGGTTTTACTATGATGTCCACTAACAACAAAAACAACAAAAAATATATTTCCACTGCAGTACTGCAAACTGCCCACAGGCAAATACGGGAACAATGAACCAAAACTATGTGGCAGAATTACTGGAAAACTGCTCAGAAAGGGGGGAGATATTTATGAGGAAATACACGGTTTGCCTACAAGTAGAGGCAATGTATCTGCATATAATCCACAAATGCTCAGGGACTCTTTACAGGATCTATGCACTTGTTATAACAAATCTTGGCAGTTCTGAAAGCCAGATCTCTTAATTACTGAACTCTACCACAGGAAATAAATGGCATTTCCAGTCCTTTACATGACTCTTCCCAGGTAATAGTTTTGACTTGAGTTGAAATTCCTTGATCTCACTAAAGCAAATCATTCTTCCTTATGGTGTATCTAATCCAGAAGACTAGCAGTGCAGTGTAACAGAAATTTCCCCCCCTAAAATATATCTCTATGCTAACATCAGTTTAACTTACAAAACAATGTGTACATTTAGCATGCTTTACTTCTGAACATACCTGTCCAATTCCAAGAAACATTGGTGATGGGAAGCTGAAAAGCATAAACAGATATTTAATACTGAGGAAAAGGGAGAAAAAAAAGAAAACCAAATAAACAAGCAAAACAAAACAACAAAAAAAGAAGAGCTTAAATTTAGCAGCAAAGTCAACAACTGGACGTGTGGATTGTAGATGACTGGCCAGTGCTTTAGAAGAGCTCAGGAACTGCTGCAGTTATTGGAATCCTAATATTTTATTTCCGCAGCAAAACACAAGCTGCATCCAAATAACATAGCATATGCACAGCTGATGAATTCTAGAAAGCTAATTGTTTTGGCTATATTTGTAAGTGAAGGTAACACACTTGGAGAACTCTTTAAAAAATTTTTGAGTAGCCTCACATATACACTATACATCCTGAGATGGTACAGTAAGTTAAATTTCTTGCACTTGCCCTAACTTGGAAGCTTATCTCCACAGCTCAAACACACTAGCAATGTTTTCGTGAAAAGAAAGTACCCAGGTAAATGTTGTAGAAACATCTATTGTCTGCTAAAACGGCTAAATTCCTAACATACCCCTTCAGTTAGCTTTAGCTGAAAGCAGAGATACTTGAGTGTTAAGAAAGCAGAAACTTTAGCAGAACACCTGAAGAGCCTGAGCCCCTCCTTTTTTTCACCTAAATCTACATCAAGTTAAAACCAATACAGGTGTGGCAGTGACTGCTAATTCTCTGTATGCATATTGAAATACAAGCAAGTAAGTTAGTTAGGATGGATGGCTGCTCTATGTTATAACCAGCAGCATCTGGAGCCTCTGCCCAGAAACCTTAGATGTCAAGGAGCAACTTGGATGTGACAGGTCCTGCTGTCCCCCAGGAGTCATGCATCATTTTGTTGGTCTGCACTGTCAGGGATGGCCACACACAAACCTGCATCCAAGGAATCTAAAACCCACTTCATTCTCTGTGCACACCTGCACTAACAAATGCCTAAAGAGGGTCCACATTCTCAGAAAGCTTTGTAATGTTCTATTATCAAGGCTCCTTGAGGTTGTGGTTATTTATCACAGAAGCCACCAAGAGCTGCTATACTACTACTTGGTGTGCTGAGAAACGTACACCTCAAATGAGCACCACTGGGATGGGAACACAGTATTAGCAAAAGAAAGAAATGGTCTGAACTGCAGTAGGAAGGCCATAAAGACACTGCAGTCATAATACAGATAAAGGGTTAGAAATGGCCAGTAGCAAAAGTGGTTCCGGGAAACAGACAGTAAGGGGCGGGGGGGGAAGAAAAAAGAAGGAGCAGAAGAAACAGGACTTCCATTTATAGTCATGTGACACCTAAACAGTGTTGTACTTACAGCTACACCATATAAACACAGAGACTTCACTCATCTGTACCACACAGATTTCTCCAGACTTTTTTGATCTGCAGAGCCCTAAACATTCCCAGCAATGCTGTAAGCTTTTTATACAAAATTTAGGCTTACTGATGGGCGTGCTGTCCTTGGTTGTCTTTCACTCATGTGCTACACGTATGCCAGGGACTTACAGGGAGCTGCAGATGATATGATGAAAACCACTATAAAACAAAATCACAACTTGCCTCATGTATCATCGCTGGGAGATATTATATACAGCTTTTATGTGTTCAAATAGCACTGAATGTTAGAAAATAACAGCAAGTTTTGCCTCTTTTTTATTTTTTCCTTTCATTTTGTTGTTTGGTGGGTTTTTTCCTTTTCTGTTGTTAGTTCACAATGAGCTAAAACATTGCAAAACCAGAGCCAACCTTTTAAGTCAAGAATACCATCGGTGAGAAGATCACAGCTACAAGACAACAGCTCCATATGGGACCTCCCTTCAATACCTGGAGTTCTTCAGTATTTTTATGAGTAAGAGGTTTTCTGAGGTTCCCGTTCCGTTTTTGGCTAACTCACAAAAGAAAGGTGCTTGCAGGAAGGTAACAAGGCTGTCTGGCAGCACAGTTATGACAAACACTGCTTTGCCTGAAGGCTCCGAGCTGCTGCGAGCAGCGAAATGCCAGCCTCGACGCCGGGAGCAACTAAAGGCCTTCAAGAAAAAGGCTGGTGTGTTTGAAAAAAACACGCCTGCAAAAGACTCTGCCATCAGGTGGTGCTGCAGAAGCGGTACATGCTGGACATAAATCGGGTCTGAAATTGGAGAAACCGAGCCCAGTTTCAGCACGTTGCCCACCACCATCTCCGCTGTTAAAGGGCCTGTGCCGGTGCACCAGCTGCTTGTCCCGGGACCCGAGCTGCACGGACGCCCCTGGGTTGCGCTAACAGTAACGAAAACGCTTCCCCGACGAGCAGTGCGGTCCCGCTCCGCTTCGGGAGCCAGACACTGCCTGCTCTCGCCGG